CATTCATTGGTATTAAGTGGCAGACCCTCATCGCATCGAACATTTAGATAGATAGATAGATAGATAGATAGATAGATAGATAGATAGATAGATAGATATGAAGAGGCTGAGATGGATAGATAGATAGATAGATAGATAGATAGATAGATAGATAGATAGATAATATGAACAGTTGTTAGATAGATAGATAGATAGATAGATAGATAGATAGATAGATAGATAGATATGAACAGTTGTTAGATAGATATGAACAGTTTTTAGATAGATAGATAGATAGATAGATAGATAGATAGATAATGAAAACTGATATAGATAGAAGAATCCAAAGACCATCATATTATACTCGAATTACATGGGTGCTTAAACATAAATTTCCACTCAAGACGAATATTATAAAAGGCCCAAAATATTAATATGATCTTTTTTCATGGGAATCAGGCTAAATATGTGTAATAGAGTGAACGGAACTTGAACCCAAAAGATGGCCTTTTGTTGCTGGAATTGTAAAATGGCGACAGGGGTGGGGGTACACACGGTAATCGCTTCATTTTAACTGTTGTTCTTGCTTTGCTTGTAAGGCATTGACCTTTTCGGATATGTAAATTGACTAAGCGTGTGATTCTCAGACTCACCTTTGACCCAGCGTTTTGTTTGCGATCAAGGATTTGTTTTCATCATCTAGCATTATCATTAGCGTTTATACAAACCTACAATCAACGAATGTTTTATATTGCCAATAAGATGTGCGAATAAGTTTTGTTGTCAGTTCGATGCAGTGATCAACATGATTAATTGATTGATTTCTTTTCTACGGATCATCAAACCTTTGCAAGTTATTTAAAGCCAAAAAATATATTTTTTGTTTTTTCTTTAGATAATAATGGTTTAGCGATACACATCTTACTAATTAACCCATAGCTAGGGAAGAAGAAGTATTTGGGCGTAGGTGAATATAACGAACCCAACTGGAATTGGAACTCAGCACTCCGTTTAACAATTACGAGGTATTATCCATTATACCACTCGTACATCCAAGCTTACAGCAGCTGGTCTTCCCAAACGGTCACCAGGCTTGACGTTGCTTAACTTCGGTGATCGTAGAGGAAGCAGTGTTTCAACGTGATGTAGCCATAAACACCGAAAGTAGCATTGACCAGGCTTGACGTTGCTTAACTTCGGTGATCGTACAGGAAGCGGTGTTTCAACGTGATGCAGCCATAAACACCGAAAGTAGCATTGACCAGGCTTGACGTTGCTTAACTTCGGTGATCGTACAGGAAGCGGTGTTTAAACGTGGTGCGGCTAAAAGCCACGCTGTTCAGCATACAGAAAAAGAGTACATTCAGTAAATATAGCCTTGTGTCAAACTTGTATTTCACAATGTTTTCAGTGCCTGACATAAGTACCGTTTATGGAATCTTCATCTAGACCAGGGGTCGGCAACATTTTGGAACGAGAGTGCCAGAAAACTATGCAGTGTCTTGGAGGAGAGCCATGATATCAAATTTACTATAATAAATTGTCTCTCGCCCTGACCGCTACGTCCAGAAGACTGCCTTGGTTTGGAGATTTAAAGAAAAAACAAGAGAAATTAATGTTATATTATTTAAACAAGTTTCCTTATAACATGTATAACAGGATAAAAACTAACACAATCAACAAAAAATGCAAATTCCTTACTACAAATGAAATACAGTTAGAAATGGCAAATTATTTAATGAGACACTTGAGACTCTTTGGATCAATCAATGGATTACTTAAACCAACACATGGCCCAGTGGATAAAAGCGTTGGTTGAAGTGAGCCAAAGAGTTGTGAGTTCAATACCTAGCCACACCAGACGTAAGGTAAAACTTGGAAAGTTGAGTTACTAAAGGGAAATAACTGAAACGAAAATATCCAGAAGACGCATGGCACATGGAACTTCAACAATCTATCTCGGTGGACGAAATTAAAGTTTCGGTTCGAAATTCCCACTTATATCACCCATAGAAGGTCGGAGCGTACAACAGCCGAAACATCGTGAATATGACAACAAAGGTAAGGACAGCAGTCCGAACAATGTAAATAGTGCAAAAAGATATTCCACTTTTTCCAGCTTGCCTTTGTTCCTAATGTTTTATTCAAGGAGTTCGACTCCTTTTTAAATATTACTAGTAATATAATAATAGTAATAATGAATGAAGTTGTAAGAAAAAGCAACGATAATAAAATTTAATTTTCTCCACCAGTTCCTTTCACACGAACGCTGGTGTTCCCCAAGGCTCTATCCTGTGTCCTACACTGTTTCTGATCTTCATTAACGATCTTCCTGATGCCATCATTTCCTAAGCAGGCATCCACACAGACGACACTACTATTTACTCCTGCCTCAATAGCAAATCCGGCATCGCTGACAAAACTAACCTGACCATTGGTCTCGGAAAATACCTCTAATCTGTTGTTTACTGGGGCAAGTAATGGCTTGAAATCTTCAGTGCCACCAAAAGCGAAACTGCTTTCATTTACCCACTACAGAGAACTCTCCCTGCCTCCTATTAAAATATCTGATGCCCAACTCCACGAGAGCTCCTCTCTGCGCCTGATTGGTCTCACGTTATCCGCTGATCTGAGGCGGAACAAATACATTGAATCAATAGCATCATCTACCGCAAGGAAAGTTGGTTCTCTGTGTCATTGCCAGAAAGTTCTTCTCGCCTGAGTCTTCAAATCTGTAAATCAACCATTCGTCCTTGCATAGAATACTGCTGCCATATATGGTCTGGTGCCCCCGCTGAATGTCTCAAGGTCCTCGACAAAATCCAGAGACGGATATGCAATGTGATAGGTCCTGATCTGGCATCTCGTCTACAGTCACTTTCTCACAGACGTATTGTGGCTTCCCTCTGTCTTTTCTACAAATATTTTCACGGTAACTGTTCCGATGAGGTACTTTCGCTGGTTCCCAGACTGCATGAATTTAAGCGTAGTACTAGGTTGGCATCTCAGACCCACCTTTTTACTGTCGAAACGGTTAAATGTAGCCGTCTCTTTTACTCCGACAGTTTCTTCTCTCGCACTTCCCGTCTGTGGAACACTTTTCTATTTACTTGCTTCCCTGATAGCTAAATATTCAAATATTCAAATGTAATGTCAACGGACATCTTCTGATGCCATCACCTTGTTCACCGTCCTTCTCTGTATCCTTTCCTCAAACACGCCACTGTCACCCGCTGTCTGTGACCCCTTGCATGCTATTGGCACTCCCACCTTGCTTGGGGTGAAATGCTTAAAAAAAATTTAACAGACTGAAAATGTGACATTGAAATTCGAAGGCGCACTGGGATAGCGAAAGATGCCTTCCGAAACCTAAGCAAAGTATTAAGAAACAGAAAAATTTTGTTATAAACAAAGAAAAGAGTACTGAACAAATACATTGCATAGAATACTGATATCAGTTCTCCTGCATGAATGCTGGACAATCTCCTCAGAAATGAAGAAAGGGCTGGAAGCAACAGAAATGCGGTTCTACAGAATGATGCTGAGAATACCATGGACTGAACATATGAGCAGCAACCATGTTTTAAAGGAAATGGAAACAAAAAAGAACACTTATGCTTAACTTTACGAATTTCTAGGACATATTAATGGGGAGAGAAGGCTTGGAAAATTTGATACTCACAGAACAGAATGGAGGAAAGGGAGATAGAAGTAAAACAACGCATTAGCTACTTGGCGAAATAGAGTGAATGTATCGCGGAGCAGGGTTTTATTTTTTGTTGTTTTTTTATCATTTCACCCCAAGCAAGGTGAATGTCACTAGTACTCAAGAGGTT